CCGCCCCCCGGCCCGGGCGCGCGCGCCCGCGAGGCGGCCCCTGGGAGTCGGAGGAGCGCGGCGGCGCGCGAGGCTCCCGCGCCAAGAGCGGTGCTTCCGCGGAGAGTCCCGTCCCGAGGCCAATCTCGGAAGGTCATGGAGAAGCCAGGGAGAGCGAAGAGGCCGAGCCGGTGCAAATCCCCACGCAAGGCGGGCCTAGTGCGCGGCGGCCCTGCGGGTAGGAGAATGGCTCCCAAAATGCTGTCCGTGCACTTTGCAAACAGTGCATTGGAGGAGAGGAAAACGTAGGGCCATGGTTTAGCTTCCTCTGTCATTACACATGAAAACCGGATTCTGTGCCTTGGAGTGGGGCGGAGGAGTGAGCGATTGCTAAGATTTTATGAGTTTACCTAAAATACCCCTAGGGCTGGGGCGCAGTCGGTCAGTCTCCCTTCCTCCTCCCTGGTGCTGGGCTCTCTCACCCCGAGAGGGCCCGCCGGGCATTCTAAGAATATCCTGGAGCCATATAGTCGTGCCTCCAAGGCGTGGTGGGCTTATTTGTACGGAGAAGAAACGACTCTCTTAATGGGGTGAGATTTTTTCCTCCCTGCATTGTTCCCATTTCCGCAGTTTCACTTGGCCTCGATTTTCTTCCAGAGTAATGCACCAAATGAAATTAGCTGGAGAGCGTTTGATGGCACAGAATCATGATTTGAAGATGTTTACGCTCTATGCCGGACGCGTTTGATGATGTTCTCTTCGACACAATTAATTTTGCAAAGTTTAGAAATGTGCCAGACGGAGCCCCTGGCACGCAGAGCCACAGGGCTCTGCAGACGCACCTTCCATGAGAAACCATCTTGTTTGTTTGTTTGTGATTTATTTGATGCACCAGCACCAAGGCCAGTGTGTTTTTAGAGACCTGTGGATGAAATGCCAAAGCAATTTCTAAACTGGCAAAATGAAGCTTATTTTCTGAAATAACACTTCCCTGTTGATAAAGTAACTAAAATGGGCAGCAAAACACCTGCCAGTACGTTGGGCTTCCTAGATGAACATGTGTCACAGTAAGACATGTTCTCTTACCCGTGTGTCCTGATGACCAGTTCTATCCATGTGCATATTTTGAACACCAGAAGAAAATGCTTCTGAGGAATAGAGTGAAGAAATAAAATAAGTCACTATCGTCAAACTGCTAAATTACTAAAATCAACTAAATGGAGGCAGAGAAAATCACACCTATAATGAAAATTCTGGAAATGAAAGGCTTTGTTCTTTGAAAGGTGAATCACAAAAACAGCTAACGTGAGATGCTGGGGTTTTGTTATTAAATTACTCACATCTTGACCCTTAAGCAGGCTTCTTGGGATTGGTGATAGAACATGTAGTGTAGTGTTTTAGCAATCAGTGGACCGGAGATATGGCTTTGTTCCTGGAAGAAATTTTGGAACCAAATCTACAAGTTAAGCATAGTTATTAACCAGTGAATCGTTGAAATGAGTGAAACTATTCTTCGCATTAAGCCTGACTGATAACTGTAGATTTAAATTGGTTTATTTTAGAGCACAGTTTTGGACAAGATTCAAAACTTTAATAAGATTCTTGCAACAAGAAGACATATGAGAGCAATCAGCTAATTTTCTCTAGATGTTATGTTCTCTACCCAAAGTGGTTTGGAATGCCATTTGAGGGGCATGAAAAATTCGATAAACACCATGAATGATACTATCTGCCTAGGATTCTGTTTAGAATACTCTCAGATAAAAAGATTTCAGGGGTGTTATGTAAAGTATTTTGAAATTATTAGACCCCTAGCATGGCCCCAAGAGGACTGTATTTTGTTTGTCTTTGTTTATTTATATTATGCCTTTTTCCAAAGAGACTTAAGGTGGTTTGCAATGAAAGACAAATGTTAAAAGAAAAAAAATCAAGGAAAATCCTGGCTGAGACTAACAGTAGTATTTGAGCACAAAACTTAGCTCCAAGCTTCCTCATAGCCAAGTGAAATAGGGGAAATTAAGATTTTCATAATTCTCATTGCCAAGTGGAAGAAATCATACAATTTACTTAAAGGAAAGTCTTTCCCAGCCCAGGCTCTGAGAAGAATGTGTCACAAGTGTCTTTATATGAGGCTATTCAGAAGTCTAAGTTAAGAGAGACACTACACGACAACAGTTTGGGCCATCTTTTGGTGGCAAGCAGAGCTAATTTTTTTTTTCTGTTGAAGAGCTTTCAAGTTGCTATTGTTAAAAGTAAGTAGCGAGACTCCTACAGAGTATTGGTGTATTTATTTGTTTGTTTGTCTTTAATACCTTGAAGGCAAGACAAGGATATAATATCAAATCTTGGTGTTCCCAGTTTTCTTCTCCATAAAAAGGGGTTATTGAAAGTACCTACTTCATAGGGTGGTGGAGAGAACAAAGGAGTTCATTTCTGTAAAAGCACTTAACTGCTGTATTAAATTTGCTATAGTTTTACTCAGCTAAGGTGTGTATGTATATGTTTTCCTCCCCTCTTATAGTTTGTCTTTTATTGCAAACCACCTCAAATCCCTTTTGGAAGAATGCATGGTGTATGCACCTGATACAATGTAAGCAGTAAATATTCGCTGTGAGTGTTATCTTTATTACCATTTCTACTACCGTTTCTAAATCTGTGAAAGCAGATATATGAGCCTGCTTTGAGGCTAGGTGAGGTGGTGAGGTGGCCATACTATCCCGTTATCCTTAGTGGGTAAAGCTTAGAGGATTATGTGGAATAAACAGGTGTCACTAAGATGCCCATAAAAATGTTTTGTTCTCTTTTATTCATTTTGTTGTTTGCCTATCATTTCCCGTCTTGCATGACTGCCACTTAATTGTTTCATTTGAGGAACACTGAGTAAGGGCCCTTTCCCCCAACAGACTAACATTTATTTAACTCCTTGGGTCTTTAAGACCTGTCACCTCAAGAATCTTGTTCAATTTCTTATAGTTTTGAGAGGCTAATACCTTAAGCTGTTAAAGCGAATTCTCAGAGTCAGAAACCTAGGGTTGAGGAGGGGGAATACCAGGAATGTGGAGAGAGCCACTGAAAGGACCAAGCGGACCCGCTCACAAACCCTCTCTTTCTGGAAGAAACCCTGCCTGCCCCTCGGCTCCGCCCTCTTCTCCATCCCTCCCATTTGACCCCAACAAACTTCTGTCTGATTAGAACCTTCATTTCACATCCTTGCTCTTCCTCTCAGCAATCCTCTAGTTTTTCTTCCACGCTTATCTTCTCTTTCTGCATATGTCTCCACTCATCCCTCCCATCTTATCATAGGGTCCTCCATCCCTTCACCTTTTATCTCTTCTTTTGACTTACTGAGCCCTCGCCTCTGTTCCTGCTTTTCTCTTCCTCTGTATTCTTTATCTGCTGTCTAGAGTCATTTAGGGGCAAAGCAAGACATTAAAATTGTTGCTACCTTATTCCATATAGTCCATCATAGACCCAGAATCCTGTGCTAATATTCTCAGTTGAGCTAATGGATGCCACAAAAGAGCAATTTACTCCGTTCTCAGTGGTGATATTAAGCCCATTATTTAATTTATTCCTGCAGCTACTGCACTCAGTGTGTTGCCGAAGGCATCTGGCACAGATGGAGAAAGAGGCCAAAAGATTAAGGAATTGAACTGAGGTCAAACCAGAGCTAGTGGAATGGTTCGAAATTGGACCCAAATTCCTTAAATCTTTGAATATATTCTCCTAACTAGTGCACTTAACCCACAGCCTTCAATGGCTGGTAACGTAAAAAAATCGAACACCAAAAGAGAGTGAGGTCTTGTTTCCAGCTCCTGACTGTGAAAATTTTTCAATGGTTACACATTTGCCAACAGGGTTAATTTAAGGTCTCTAACACATAAGGTAGCTGAAAAATAATGAGTCCGTTAAATAATTCATTTCAAAAACAACAATGTCCCCAGGGTTTCCTTTGGGTGCCTAATCTGGTACCCTGAGTATGAGTCTCCTTTCGGAAAACAAAAGCACCATCACTATGGCAGCTATGGTCAACAGAGACGTTCCTGTTGATTTCCCTGCTGGAACTTAAAGTAACTGAGGACATCAGTCTCAAAGAGAAAGCCTGCAGCTCTGAGGTTCTTTCTGAGACATGCCCAAGAAAGCCTGGGTTTCTGGCTATTTTGTTTAATCACAGAAGCTTATGCTCAAAGAGCTGACAGTAACCTTAACACTACCTAAGTAAATTAAGGTACCATTCAATGCAAACTCGAGTGTTCATAGGACCCCATCCTACATACCTAGGTAGGCCTAATCTGGACTAGACAAATTAAGTTAAATGCACTAGATTTTTTTTTTTAACCCTAGGAAAGACAATCGTACATGTGACCTCCCAGTGGGGAGATTGATACTAATGGGTTATTCACATAAATAGTCTCACTGCTAGGTATTTTGTATGTGTTACCGGTATTAGTCCCACTTTACAGATAACGAGACCAAAGCTTGAAGAAGTAAAACAGCAGACTGAACATACCAGTCTAATTCCAGAGTCATAGTGATTTAGAAGGCATTGACTAGATGTGGGGTTCAGAATACCTAGTTGGTAGGTGACAGCAGTGAGCACGTACTGAGCACCCCCAGCATGCTGGGGAATGTGGACCAACAACTCGTTCTGTCCTCTCAGCATCTTTGTGAGTTGCAGGGAGGGTTGCCTTCCTCATTTTTCACAGGAGGCCACACAGAGACTGACAAGAGCGCGATTCAAACCACCTCAGTCTGGGTCCAAAACCCACACTTCTAATGACTGGACTCTGCATTCCCCTGTCAGTGCGGCCACTAAACCTTTCACCACTTCTAGTTTCAGAAGCTTCACTGGGATCCTGCCTACAGCTCGCTACCACTGTAGGTGAGGCTTTGACAAAGCTGGGTTTTGACCAAGAGCTACCTACACAAAGCCCTTCCCAGCCCAAAGGCGTGCTCTCCAATCTCTCCTGAGTCTAATGTGCTACTCTGCTTTGCCTCTGGTAACCCTTTCTCTTCACATCCCTGTTTCGGATTTCATTATTAGTGGAGATAGATGATTTGCTGTCTCTTATGGGTATTGCTTGAGTTCTGCCATACTGCATAGCACTGTGTCTCTGTGGCACCTGGCTCCCACACTGTCCTCAAGCTTCTCCCCTCTGCATTGAGACCCCATGATCGGATTGTCACACTACCACTTATTTATCTCTGTTGGGTGACTGCTTCCTTCAATATGAAAGTATCTTTATATTCAAAGCCCCCAACAGTCAGGAGCACCCCCAGATACTTCCCCTGGATTTAGAGAGGGTTTTCTTTTTCCTTATGCCTTGTGTCTACACACAGCAGCTTAGTTAGGGCTTTCTCAGAATTATACTCTGTTTATGAGCCCTGGATTTGCAATACATTGTCCATCTTGAGAAAATAAAAAAGTTCATTTAAAGACAAAGAATGTTAATATTCTGTAGTTTTCAGTATAACAGCTATCAGTGAAGATTGAGCAATGAAGATTCCTTTCCTGCGAATGGTAAAAATACAACCCTAGCTAATTTTGCAATGCAGGCCAAGAAGAGAGGGCGAGACATCATGAATAAGCATAAACCTTTTCCGATGGCTTTGGGGAATTGTGATCAGGGCTGTGGAGAAAAGATCAATTCCTACCTGAAGGGAGGTATGATGGGCAGGTTTATGAGGAATCATAAGGCGGAATAAAAACATCATGTCATCATTATTAGATTTTTAAATTCATATTCAACAAGTATGTATTGAGTACTTAACTACACACAAATGCTAAGGATACAACAATGAGGAAACCAAATAGAGCCTTTATATTTATAAAGTTTACATTGTAAAACCCTTTCAAAACATGGTCAGAATGTACAATATTAGCCTGAATTGCCAAAAGAAAGAAAAACTGCTTTAAAATTAATTTTCTATTAACTATAAATAGTTTTCTATTACTCTCTGTTTTTCATTTTTTGTTCCTATTATGGCACTAGATTAGGTTTAGACCTAAATATTTAAAACCTTAACATTTGATTTCTCAAAGGCCCAAGGTTAATTACAGCTCATAAAATATTATGAATTAACATATAATAATCAGCAGAAAAGATATAGAAAATTTCTTTAATTTTAAAACCTTTTTAGTGCCTAAAAGTCAAAATGAAAGTATGCAGACATATCAGTTGTTTTAAAATTAACACTTTATTTTACATATTTTCTAATTGCTATTGAAGGGAGATGGGAATATAAATGAATATTTTTTCCCCAGCCACTATCACAGGCAACA